CCCGTAAGCACGAGATATATATAGTCGCAAGTATATACGGTGAAGTAGTAATGATTCATTGAGACAGGTCCTGTGAGAATTCGTCATACTCTTGGGAAATTCTGAATAAGGAAAAACAACTCCTAGAATGATATTAGTGAAATCCAGGGAAATCCTCAATCAAAACCTATTGGCCAAGCCTCTATCGAGTCTACGGACGCCCAAGAAAGTACCGAGGTCCGCCAGGGTGGTTTGGTTTTGTGCGGTCTCCGAGACAATTGGTCCCAAGTGCCTAGAGAACGCGAACTTGGACTTGAACTCGGCAGAGGACGGGACGCGTCCAGCCTCGTTCGGTTCGTCCCTCTTCTAGAATATTGTCAGAGGAATATATGCCGGGCCGCGTCTAATACTGCCCACTGGCGAGAGATGGTTACACACGCCTACTTCACATAAGAGAGGACTCTCTTTTTACAGGACTACAAGAGAGATGAACACCTCATTCTGAACCCCTCCAGACGACGTTTGCAAGAGTCCTCCGATAAACCCCACCAAAGACTTCCCGTAGGTGGATGACTGGGTATCACTTCCATTAGAAAAAGAAGATTACGCATCTTTATATAGCGATCCGAACGTAGGAAGGCCTTTACTCAATAGTGTCAGTCTCAGTCAACTTGCGCGAAACCTGAGAATGACTCTAAGCCATCAAGTCTCTGGCCCAGTCACAGGGTGCACCAGACATCCCAACACATCACATTGCAAGTGTAAAGTCAGACGATTAGTGTTTGTACTTTTGTATTGATGCGGAAAATCAAGCTGGGGCAAAAACAACTCCTCCATCATGTGTACTCTCGCATCTATGTTCTGACAGAAACATCTCTTTCCCAGGAGAACAGGACAATGCCTACTGCCACTTGTTCCGTTTCCTACGCCCCATTTGCCCCGAGCGTACGAACAGAAAGACCAAAACAATGTCTGGGAGCAAAAACCCGCAGTGAGAAATACAGTTACAATACATTCGAGAACCCCATAATGCCGCCCCGTAAACGCCTTAAAAGCCAAAAGCAAGGTTTGAACCGGCCGATTGCCGAGCCAGGTATAATATGCATAGAATGCTTGGGGAAGGGGAGAGAGAGAATGCGCCCCAAGGGACCCGTTCATCATCATCGTCATCATCGCCGTGTCATGGACATCATGCCGGTCAAAGCCGGCTTCCACCCGTAAACACCATCCCAGTTTGCCGCAATCTCCAAGGTTACCAGAACCCAACGCCAATTCATGCAGAACAACATGGACCGGTCGTGATCATCATCGTCATAAGTGGTTAGTAAGTAGTCGGTCTGAGTCCCGTGGTCCGAAAGAGAGACTCAAGAACGAGGACCAGGCTGAATGCCTCTGCGTGACATCTAGGCACCAGAGACCTTGCGGGCCGTCGACGCTGCCGTGGCTGACGTTGCGGAGGTACCCACACTGCCAACACGGCCGCTCGCCTTGCGGACTCCATCCTTGGACCTCGGTGACTCGCCCGACCGCTTACTGCCACGAACCTTGGTGAGAATACCGGATGCGCTGCTGACTCTATCCACTTGTTTGATGCGTGATGTTCCAAGATTCTCAACGTCATTGCTGGCATCGTTATCGATGTACGTCTGGTATACAGCGGCAGCCGAGTGACTAACTGAGCGCTTTTCACTGCGACCGGGCGATGCGGAAGGTTTCCGTTGCGAGCGCATGCGAAGGTGAATTTCTTCATCCGACTCGGCGCTGTGAGAATGCTTGTGGACCGTAATGGTCTCGGCGTCTTGGTGGATGCCCGTTTCTTCCTCGACCGTTGCAGTGTATGAAGTTGACCTTTGGTATGGGTGATGGCGGTCTGCCCTGTTGGTCTTCCTCGGCTGGCCAGGTGTCGGTGCTGGGAGGTAGTCTTCCTGAACCCCAATGTTATTGCGGTCATGGTCGACTTCGCTCAGCGGCGTCCGGTTTGAGGTGCTTCTGTGCGGAGGCGTGGATGCTTGGCCGGCACGAATCGACGTCTTCTGCATGGCACGGATCGGGGTGCTGGGAACAGCGGCGTTGGCAGCCATCTCCTTGCGGAGCTTGCGCTCGATGCGCTCTTCGATCCACCATTCACGGAAGATACCCTGGTTGATATGAAGCCAATGCTGTTGGGGACCGACGACCATACCCGGGCGCATGAAGCGCATAAAGGCAATGATCTCGTTGGCTGTGAAGCCGTGACGGTAGATGAGGTATGCACCAATGAGGCAGCCTGTCCTTCCGAGGCCGGCTTTGCAGTGGACGGCGATGCCCTTCTTCTTGACGGTGATGGTCTCGTGCGCCAATCTGATGAATTTGCGAACAGTGGTGAGAGGCGGGCAGGTGCCGTCATCGAAGATCATGTCGAGGTGGGAGATGCCCATTGACTCGAAGAAAGACGGGGAGTACAGAGGCGAGTTGAGACGGACAACGAGGCCAATGTTTCTCTCGGTGAAGTGCTTCAAAACGTTCTTAAAGGGCTGGGGGAGCGTCTTGTTGGCATCGAGCTGGCCGAGCGACTTGGGAAGCGCGTCGAACTCCTCAGTGCCTTCGAGGAATTTGGCAACGGGTGTGTGTTGGGGCGAGGCAAAGGCCAGGAAGTGTGGCGTGATCCAGTTGAAATCTCCGTGCTCCACTCTCTCGAACTTCTCATACTCGTCAAGGTCAAAGTTGTCGAGAGCGCAGCAGCCCTCCTCCTTGGCCTTCCAAACGCCGTAGACAACATCTTGGACGGTAATACCGTAGTCGGCCTGGGAGTATCCAGCGTCGCGGAAGGGCATCAGAGGTGGGTCGACTTGGGCGATGGGGGCCAGGGCCAGATGCGGGGGCCAGTTCTGAATGAGGACCATGTAACAGGCGAGCATGCAAGCAGCGTTGGCGCGACCTTGTAGACTGTTAGCTGGGCGGTTTCCATGTCAACTTTGCGACGCTGCGACTCACTTCTGGGGTCGGCTCTGCTCCAGAACACGATTGGGCGATCCTTGTTCTCCTTGGCACCGAGGACGTCATGGAACTGCAGGGCGAAGCGGTACAGGTGGCCAATGTGGAGCGGGCCAAAGTCGTGGTGGAAAGCATTGTACAGGAGGGTATCGTCGACGGTGAAGTAGTAAGGTGTTTGACGGGCGGCGGTCTGGACGGGTGTTGGGCCTTCGGCGGCTCTCTGTGATCGCTTTCTAGGTGAAGACTGGGCAGCTTCGCCGTAAGGGAAGATGGTCTCGGCCGTGGGCGGGTGGATGTAGGCGGCCAGGTACAGGCGGTCTGGAAGCCAAGTTAGAGTTGAGACGGGGAAGAAGGCGCAATAGAGGTAGGGATGAAGCTGGGGTAAGGCATAGTTGTAGCTGTCGCATGCTGCGCTCACGTCGGCTTGCGATGAGCGAGGCGACCGAGACGGCGCAGGATAATGATGCGACATGATTGCGATGTTGAGGGCGGGCAAAATGCACAATTTGGGAGTTGAAAGGGCACGCGCGGAAACTCACCTGGGATGTATTCAATGACCTGGCCCATGTTGGCACTCTTGGATGAAGGCGCCATTGGGACTGATGAGTCTCTGTTTCCTCTCTGAAGCTATTCTCCGGTTGAAGTTGAAAGGAGGCAGTTGCTCTCGGCACCGGAATTCAAGATGCAACTTGGAGAAGGCTGGAGGCTGGAGGGGGTCCGAAATGATCAAGGCAGGTGCCGAGAGTATCCAGAGGAGAGGCTACTCCTTTGTATGCAAAGTAATGCGCGCGCAAGGGAACTCGGGAAGACAGTCCCTGGGGAAAGTGTCGTGCAGTAAATGGGTGCGGGATTGTGAGCTGGGTTGAGGCAGGAATGTTGAAATGGCTGGTCTGAAACAATAACAACAACAAGCAGCTACCGTACACCTTTTTGGTCTTGATGTTTTTTTTTTTTCGGGGGGTCTGGGAAGTAGACCAGAAAAGCTGCGACGCTCTTGCGGAGAAAAGAGAAGGAAGCGCAAGAAAACAGCAACCCGACTCAAGGGAGATGTGATGCTTCAAGGGCGGACAAGACAATTGTCGGAGTCTATTGGGAGGATGAGGTAAAAGGAAGGTATTGCGAAAGCGCAAAGGAGACCGAGTGACGGTGTTTTTGTATGGTTTGCTGTGTGTTTTGCTCCAAGCGGTCAATATGGGGCCGGCCCAAAACAGCAAGGGTCGGTTGTTGTTCCCTTAGCCTTCTGTGCAGTGTGGCCCCCCCTCAAGTGGCCCCCCTGCACCACAGCGACCACACTGCTGTGGTGTGTTCTGGCCCTGCTCCTCCAGTGTTGTGCTGGCTGCCGGGCTGCCAGGTTCGTTGTCACGACAACCTGCCAGGGGAAGCACTGACCAAGGGCGCCTCCTGACGGATGGATCGAACCGTCCCATTGGCTCACAACGCCTGAGGCAAACGCACCCGCCTCAGATCCCGCTTGGCTTAGCACCACCTCACTCCGTCACTTCGTACATAGATACCTACCTACCTTGCCAAGGTATCATGGAAACTAAACCCTTTGCAGCATCTGACGGCTATTGACCACTGCCTGCGCCCTTCTCCAGTTTCTATCGGAGTAGGTAGTCCAACAATAACAAACCAAGGTACAGATAACCGTCTCCGCATGAACTGGTTCTAGGCTTTCCAGGTTGCTTATCGGGCGGCACTGCGTCAAACAACGTGTGCTGCTGCGCCAGGGCAACCCCACGTTGCCCATCTCCTCCCTCTGCTGTGGACTCTTCAACTGTGGACTAGGTACCCTACCGTCTACGAATACGGATGGGTACGGAGTATGGAACAGCACACATCATCCCCAATGGAACCAATAGAACATGTGTAAGTCAAAGAGGTCACCAAGTCACGTTGGGGACGGCCCGAGAGCCCTGTGCGTGTGCGTTGGCTACATTGCTTGATTTTGTCGTGTGTCACATTCGGTCCTAGACTGATGCCGCCATGGAAACAAGCCCGTGGAATGGCGGGGCACTTTGCTCCCTACACAGTCACACTATCTTTTTTCTCGGTCCCTCCAAGGTTTGTGCTCACCTCGTGTCTCCGTCCCGCTGTCCCGCTCATTGTTTGGTTTCTTCAAGGCAAGGTACGTTACTTTCCAAGCAAAGTGTCTGCCGGCCGGACAGGAATTTCCTGCGCCGCCAATGACGACTTTACCTTCTCTTTTTGTTTCTTCTCAAGTTCCTTGTCCCGAAAGATTCCCATTCATACCCCACAGAGCCGCAACAGCGTAATAGCGACGGGGCTTTCCCATTCCTGTCCACCTACGTTACTTACATAAGGTAAAATAGTGTACCGACGACTAGCCATACCTATCTCTATCTCGATTGCACCCCTCCCCCTCCCCCTCCACATCCCACCTCCAAGCGCAAAACGCTGCCAGCGCCCAAAATCTCTAACCATGGCCGTCCGCAACACCATTGACCAAGAGTTCCCCTGCTCACTGTAAGTCGTCGCTATACCCAGATTCCGCATGGGCCCCTTTCTTCTCATATCCTATTGTATCATTTCCAAAGACGAAGAAGAAAAAAAAAAGCTGAGACATCGAAACGAATAGAACAATTAACGTCCCCTTCCCGACCCCGCGCCTAGCCAAAGTCGCACACAAAGCCCTCGCCGTCGACCAAGAACTCTCCCCTCTTGTCCGCCGCACCTTCTCCATCGATTCCGACTCACCGAGCACCGCCGACGCTGACGCCGATGCTGCCTCCGTCCTCCGCGTACACTACAAAGCCACCACGAACCGCATGCTTCGCGTGGCCGTCAATGGCCTCATGGAGAGTCTGAACCTTGTCGTCGAAGTTATGGAGGAGCTGGATGTTGATGTCTTGGAACATAATCGGATCTCTTCGCAATAAGGGATTCATAAGAGAAGGAGAGGGAGAGACGCTGCAAGGAGGCTGAAAACGCCTCTATGAATTGCCACTCGAAATATGGAGAACTAAAAGAAGCGAGAAAGAAGAAGCCACCCTTAAAATCTGGGAAGAGAGCGCGAGAGCGCAGTCGAACGCGACGGGAAGAGGAGACGGAAAATGATGCATCATGACTTTATATTTTTTACATTTTGTGATACCCTAGAATATACAGCCACACGATATGTGACATGATTACAATGTGCCAATGCTCTCTCTGTCAAGTTACAGTCTAGATTTTGCATCTAGATTCTCCTGAACCGAATACCTTGGCATTGTGCCAGTGATGACCCCTGAACGTGGCCAGATACAACAGAAATGGCAGGGGAATATGCTTCCTAACAGCTTTACAATCCCGGATGTTCCTCTATACCCCCCTTAATTACTTCGTATATCATGCTCGCCCGGTCTGTTGATCGATAGATTTCCTTTGTAGCTCTCAAGGCTCGTCATTAGATATGCGCCCTTCTAGCTCTCCACTGCCTCCTTCTGCTCGAGAGACTTTTCCTTGAGCTCCAACTTCTTCTCCGCTTCCTCGGCTCGCTTGTTGGCATCGGCGACTTCCTGCTTGAGCTGCTTGATGTACTCAATGGCAAGTTCGACGGTGCTGGCCTTGCTGTTCGGCGCCCCTCCAGCCTTGGCTTCTTTCTCTCTCTCTTTCCTCTCTTCGCTTTCACTCTTGGTCTCCTTTGGCGGCTGCGGCAACAACGTCGCAATCTCCTGCAATGCCGAATTAATGCGGTTCCGGCGGCCCTGTTCCGCAATCTTGTGGGACGTGCGTTTTGATGTGAGGTTGGTCGACAGTTCGCTGGGATACGTCACACCGGGTACGGTATTGCCCTCGAGGATGTTTTGATAGTTGGACTTTGACATTAATAGACGAGATGCCGTGTCTTCCGCGGACATGCCCGGTGTTCCAGGTAGAAGCGGCTTGATGCTAGGTGATATTCTCGGTCGCAATGCAGGCGATACATGTACCGAGCTCACGCTTCCCCTTTTGCTCTGACTTCCTCTGGCCAACAGCTTTGGCGTTTTCCGCGCCGAAGGGCCTGAAGATCCAGGAGCAAGGTTCGGGCTCGCGCTTGCTGACGCCGCAGCGGTAGGTTTGGCAAACACAGGCGAAGGGAGCGGCTGGAAGGACGAACCCGTCGCCGTACCGGGGTCCAAAGGCGATTGAGTTGGCGTTGATGTGTCTAGTCTAGGGGGCTTCGTTTTTGGAGCAGAAAAGTTAACGGACTCGGGCAACTCGAACGATTCGATGTGGTCCGATGGGCCTAGATCGAGAGGATTTGAAGAGGCAGAGTTGTTTGCGCTAGAAGCAGGCAGCTTCATGAGAGAGGCCGGGGTGGCGGGAGACGGCTTCCCTTGAACGTGAGCCGGAATAGCAGGGTGAGGCTGGGGTTGAGGTTGAGGTTGAATAAAGGGCGATTTGCTCGATTGCTTCTGTTGCGGAAGAGGCGGCGGGGGCATATCTGACAGGTTCTCGGGCGATACTGAGGCATTTTCAGACTCCTCGCTGCTCATCGGGGCTGGCAAAGCCGTCGAAGGAAGCATCTGATCCAAACCATCCTCGTTCACCTCCCGCATCTCTGACAGAGCCTGTGACACCATCTTCGGCGTGGGTGTTGCCTTTTTGCGCTGGGGTTTTGAAATGGGCGACTGTCGAACGCTGGCTTTGGCCTTCGCTCTTGAGGCGTTGGTCTTGCGAGCCTTCTTTGACAAATCCACCACTGGCTGTTGCGTGGTTGTCGTTTCAATGTCCATTTCGGCTGGTGAGTTGTGGGTTGAGAGGGACGATCGACGATCGTAAAGAAGTCCTTGGTCGCTTTGCGCGTGCAATGCCGGTGAGGTGAGAGGGCTGAAGTATGCGCCTGGAATTGTAAACCCGCCGGCTTCCATCTGGAAATGAGGATCCAAGGGTGTTACTGCTGGTGAGACCAAGGGAGTGAAAGCCATCTACCATGGTCAGCTTAAAAGCTTCGTTGCACTTTGAGGGGGATCAACTCTTACATCTTGCTGCTCCTTCATCCTTTGATACCTGCTGCCAAACATGGGCGTCTGGCTTTGGTCGTTTGAGTAGAATTGGTTGCTGGCAGGTGGCATTTCGAGACTCTGGGGTGTAGGAGGAACAGCATGTGTCTGGCTAGCGTAGTATGCGACCTGCTGTTCTTGTATCTGGCGATGTTGCTGCTGCATCCTTTGCTGCTGCAGGTACTGTATTTGCGCGTCGATTTCGGTGATGGCATCGCTTGACGTCGACGGGGGAATCATTTGAGTTTGTATAGCAGGGTGCGCAGCGGCCGTTGTCATGTTGATAAGCTGCGCTTGCATGGCCGAGGTGGTAGCTCCCATGAGCATGGATGTGTCGGTTCCTCCCATCTGAGTGTCGAGCTGCTCGCGACCAGGCTGGTGCATAATGCCGGTTCCATTGCTAGTCTGATAGTCGTTGAAGTCGAAGGGCATCGCATCGCTAAGATTCCCCATTCCACCCAGGTCCAAGAATTGCTGAAACTCCTCATCATGATTTGGCGCCAATGCCGGGTCCTGGGGGTTCCAAGAGGCGGCGTCCATCATGGCTACACTGAAGGTTGAGGCTCCGGGTCGGAGAATTTCAAAGCCCGAGTTGCAAATAACGCTGTCGTGGGAACACCGTCGGGTCTTGTGCGCCTTCCTTTTTGCAGGATCCGTTTCGCAAAACCCAGATCAATGACCTCGATTGGCGTGGTCGTAGGTCGATAGCGACAGTCGTTGGAGTATGTCGGGGCGAAGTGGGTGAGAGAGGCTTGGTAGGTTGCGCATAAGGCAGTGTATGGAACGTCAGAGACACGGCTTGCCGTGGGGTTCTGTTCGAGGTGCGTGGGGAACACGGGATGAAAATATGCCGGGCGCAAAGTGTAGAGCGCAGTGCCTCACGCCGAATGAACTCGGTGGGAGACTTCGCTCTCTCGATGTCAAGAAAGAGACTCCCAAGAAAAACTCGGGTTTGGATAATCTGCAATGTAGTGCTTGGTGGACGAGGTTGAGAAATGGTGTTGGAAACAGGAAAACCTATCTCTCGTGGTGGAGAGAGAGAGAGAGGCTGGAGAAAACGAGCCGACGGAGCTGAGGGACTGGGGAGGCAGTGGCAGCGGCAGCGCAGCGGCAGCGAGCAGGTGATAATGGTGGGAATGGTGGGGGGGACACACCTAGAGAAGGAGGTGGGACGGGAGTGCATTCAGATGGATGGACTGCTATTGGCAGCCGGTGAGTGGTTGACGAGCCCGTGGACACATTTTTTTCTTTTGCGTAGTGTAGAGTCGTAGACTGGCGGACCCAAGCTTTGGGGCCTCGATAGTCGAATGCTTCCTTGCCCAGGACATGGATGACAAGTGAACTGGCCCGTGCCCGGTGCATTCATGCTTCCCAGGACTCCCCAGTACAGGGATTTAATTGAGTGGTTGTTGTTGAGCAGCGAGCTATCCGTAGCTGCACTAGGTTTCTGTAAATTGGTCGAACCGACCGACACGCGGTTAAATTGGGAAACCGAAAAATACACAGTACGATAACTCTTCCTCGGTGCCCAAAGACCCTATCCGAACCACCTTGCCGACGGCAAAATGTCATGTTGGCGGGTATACTGAGATACCAGCAGCGACTCCCCGCTAGCAACCTCAGATCTCGGATCGTCAAAAGGTTGGATAAGGTCACTAGACAAATCCAAGCACCGCTCCTAGCGATCCTCACTCCTATGAACAACCAAAATAGCAGCCTGGTAAGGTATATTTACGTTGGAGTCACAGTTGACGGACATTCGGTGCGAAACAATTGCCCAACACGGTTCCATGTCCGATCGATCACTCACTGTCCGGGAAAATCCGTCTTCGCTACAAGTACTGTCCGAACCCTCAGGCGATGCCCAGTGTGAACTGTGAAGTGAGCAAGCCATTCCTTGCCTCTAGGTAGACAATTCCACACCTCCGGAGACAACACCACGAGGTAATCAAGCTACTATGTAATTCCGTATTCTGTATCTACGCATCTTGACCAACTTCTACTTGCCTGCCACTGCTCCAGGGATCTCTCGTCTGTGCTCAACCTGACCCTGTCCACCCTTCTCCATGAGACAAGAAACCTCCTCTTTTCTCTCAAGTTTCAACTGACAACAGTGGAGGTATTACACTATTTCCATATTGCCCCTCTCGGACTCGGAATGATTGTCGGGGAAACCGCAACGTGTAATGGCTGGTATTTCTCCCCGACCATGGCACTCACCCAGCCATCCTACGACTTACCAGTCACCACACTGGAGAGTTCAATAATTAAGACGGGACGAGGGGAGAAATTTTCTCACCCGATGTCTTTTTACGGATTGGCGCTCCGATCACACCGAGGCCTTGAGCGAGCAAGATTAACTTAAAGTGGATCTGGCCCCCCATCGGCAACGGCGCCGGCGCCGCGCCACGCAGGTTCGTCGGAAGCGAGTTCGAGCTTTAACCGCTCCAAGCCCCAAGACTCTCACTGTTGCTTCCATCTTAAGGAAAATCTCGGGGTGTCAAATGCCAGGTGAGGGCATGGTAAGCTTCCTAGCCGCCCAGAAGAGTCAAGAGACATTCCGCAGCCAAGCCCATCACGGCAGACGTCAAAACTGTCAGCCCAGGCAGAGTGGCTCTCTCTAGCCATCAGGCGGGGTCATGTTCCCACACTTCGAGTCCGTGACTCGTGAGCTTGTAAATTCGGGGTCCCATCTCGGATCTCCGACTTCGATCCTGACAGGCGCTGCAGTGCGGTTATTTAATATCCAGCCCGGAATCGGTGCTGCACTGCCTGCAAGTCATGAGCGGTTACGGGGTCCTGCAAACGGGGTCAGACGAAGAATGCAACCTGTCGCCTTTGGTTTAATTTGGATGACCGGTAGTTGGGTACTGTGGACTGACATTGGGCCCAGGTTGCAGTCGTATTGGTCTCTCAGAGTCCAGGGTCCATTGGGATTCATGAAGAAGAACCCCTTCATCAAGGAATGTCCTTGTTATTGCTTTAGGCCCTCACACGAGCTGCTCACGTTACCGAGTGACGGCTAGAGTTGCTCCCTCTCTGCGATTGCCCGCCCCTCTACGAATGAATACCCAGGCAAGCATCCGTAATCACAGTGAGGTGTGATAGGAAACGA